CCCTGAATGCTGTCTGGGTACCTGCACACAACAAGTGAATGTATCCGACCATAGGCCTGGGCGCGGTACCTTTGACTCTACAGTTGACTTTGACTGTTGAATTTCCTTCGTGCTGCGTTCGGTCACACAGCCTCCTCGACAGACTCAGGCTGGGCATGTCTCGGTCACATAGCCCAGCACAGACAACTGAGTCTGTGCTTTACCGGGGGCAACGTTCTGAGCCCCGGTCTGCTGCTGAACAGGGTTACTGCAAATCAATCAACCAAACTTTTTTTTTTTTTTTTTTTTTTTTTTTAAAGGCCGACAACCTTGAGATATCATCATCGAACTGACTGATCCAAGGTAAATTCAGAGTTATTTTTACATATTTGATTCCATGTGGATTCGAACATAGGTCCGTTTATCAACAGTTTATGGGTGTACCATCTTGTGCTTTTTTGCATGATCGTCACTCCATCCTCCATCCTCCACCCAGCTCTCCCATCCATTGCCATGCCGTGCATCTCGTGTGGTGATCCTCCCTGCTCGTCGTCCCTTCACAGAGGAAGGGAGTGGCAATTGGCAATCGGCGCCATCTCGTACATCCGGCGATGAAAACGAAGCCTTCTTTTTTTTTAATGAGCAGGAGGATAGCATCGGAGAAAAGTGGCACTTTCAGTCGTGCAAATGTCAAAATTCGACTCAGGCACCTGTTATACTACTACTCCATCTTTCCACAGTCCCGTGCCACGTGTCAGTGTGGCACACAATTTCTTTTCTTCATCTTGTGACTCTCATAACTGTCCTTCTCCCTCCTCCTTTCTCGTGCTCCCCCCCATCTCCCGCTGTCGTGGCGTCCGATTTCCATAGTCCTCATCCCCTCTCTTCCTTATCCTCCTCCGCCGAACGGCACTGGCGTCAATCTGCCTCAAGCGCTCAAATGATGCCATCGCGACTCGAGTAGATTTGACAGCAAGACGGTCCCTGTGCATGGCCACGTGCGGATTTCTGACGACCTTCAGTGCCATGTCCGCATGCAATGCACGTGGTCATTACGATCCCTGCCTATCTGCCCTTGCTTCAACGTTCGTCTCTCTCTCTCTCTCTCTCTCTCTCTCTCTCTCTCTCTCTCTCTCTCTCTCTCTCTCTCTCTCT